TTATTTTTCTAATACTATTCTCATTCTTGTTGCTACATAGAGGTCTAAAGAAATACATTTGGGGGAAATTTACTTGTTGCTCTTGTTTTAATACTAATATGTTGCTACTATTAAACTGTGAGTCCCAGCCGTGATAACACGCATCACCACCATTTACTTTTAAGGGTTGAGAGTGATTAAGGGCGCTTACATAGCCTGTCGTTTCTTAAAGGTCTGTATGGCGAAACAGACATTTTCTACAAACGTTAAGCCCAACCCAAAAATAAGAAACCGAAATATGAACTTTCCGTTGTATAACAATGAAGGTATAAACTTTCTTTCAATTAATGTGAGTTGTCTTCTTCAACCGAAAAACATTATTCCTGCATACCTCTTTAAAAATGAGGACTCAAGCAAAACCCATTGGCAAAGCAGCTACATTTTAAAAAATCTCACTTTGCAGTAAATATGAGAAAATTAGGGATATGTGTATGGGAGCACCAGTCAAACGCCTGGCGACCCATAAAACGGTTTCAATTAAAGGTTTTTTTTCCTGCGTTAGTTTTTGTCTCACTTCAACTTCTAAAACTTAATGCAACAAAACTTTACATCTTGTCATCTAAATTAGTCTCAACCTGGTTACCTCAGAGCGCTAGAGGTGGTGACCGTTGTGGGGATCAGGGCAAGGGTGAAGGTAGGTGGCCGCAGGTGGAATGGTGGTGGTTGGCTACCTCCCTAGGTATCCCACGAGACCGATCTGCGCTCAAAACGTTCGAATAAGTCTTTGTTGGCCTTCCTCTTGGCGATCATCTAAAGGCCATCGCCGTAAAAGAGTTGTTGAGTTAATCGCTAACCATACATCCTCGTGCGATCGATATTCAAATTTGTATCAGCAGCTAATAGTTCCGACCCATGCGAGGACTTCTGTTTCTGCGATCCTATCTTGCCTTCTTTGCTTCAATATTCTGAGGAGACAGCTTGAGTGGAAAGGATTGAATTGTCTTGCTTGTGGCTCGTAATCTGTCCAGCTCACCTCTCCAAACGACAGCGTCCTCGCACGGCTGCCTGGTTATGGTGTTGGGACGCGTCACTTCTTCATTAATTTTGCTGCTGCGTGCGAGTGTGCTGCCTACATCGGCAAAATTGCCATCGCTGAGATTCCTCTGTGGCTATAATAGAGTCTTCTATGCTATCCCATATTATCCTCCAAGCTCTAAACATATGAACACAGTCTTATCAAAAGGAATTAACAATATTTTGGCGAGTAAATATTCCTATTGACAGACCTGCCTTCTACTCGGGGATAAATTGAATTCAAGGAAGTTAGTACACTAAAATTACAAATGATACATTATCTTAAACAAATTAACAATTGACAAATGGACAAA